GTTTGTGATGATCTTGGAATATGATGTTGTGACTTGTGCTTTAACTTGCAATAAATCCCTATCATATTCTAATCATAAACTCAAGAAGTTTGTGAATCAAAATTGTGTTTCTGTCTCCCAACTTTAGCATTTGACCTACTAAGAAACTCAAAAGTCTCGTGCAACAACTCCAGCACTTGAGCAGCTAATAATAAACTTCATTCAAGTTCAATAAGAGATGTGCAGAGCCAACCTGTATGCAGTGGTTAGCATGCAAGATTAATCTGATATGGCCATGAATTCAGCTTACAACAATTGCAACTGTTCCATTTGCAACCATTACTCTACTGAGGAGGAGCTTTTGAAGTACTCTTATTCCAGGAATTCCTCGAGCTTTCTTAAAAGCAATGAGAAGACTCCATTAAAAGATGTCCTCTTCTCATTTTAAGTACTCAATGTTCCAGCAATAAAGACATCTGCTCCACCTACAAGTGATCAATGAACACAGGAAGTGGGCATGAGGAAGAGAGAGAGAGAGAACTGCTTAGGAGTAACCAGTGGCTACTTTGGCAATGATTAGTCTCGGCTCATCTCATGAGATTCTTGTAGTTTTCCAATGTTCTGCAAGTTGGAATACTTCCTTGATGGATTGTTGAGCTACAATGCAACACAAGTTGGCCATCGGACCTATGATTGGATCACAATGGAGGAGGAGTCCTAAGCTCATTTATCTCTTGACATGAGCTAAATCTTTCTACCCTTTTGTAATCTTTGAGTACTTGAAACCACTGACTACAGTGATTTCAAGTACTACTTCAAAGTTCTAATGGTTTAACAAGCTGTTCGCTCTGATATCAAAACAAAATGAATTATTTATTCCTCAGAATGTGGCTGTGTTCAGATTCATCCCTAAATAACGGATTATTTTCCTCCAAATCTTGGAAATCACAAGTTTTGCCCATATCAGCATGACTCTGCATCAGAGATTGATATTGAAGACAGAGGAGACAAAGCAGGCAGAGAATGCTCATTGGATGCCATTTTCCTTTTCGTCCATTTGCAATGATTCCAATCCCCCTCCCTTTCCTCGGCCAAGAGCGCTAAAGATGTTTGGTTTCTGCGCTTTATCCGTTGTTCCCCCCAGATTTGAGAAATGAATCGATAAAGACGGAAACTTCGCCCTTCCCGAGAGAAGAGACGAAAAGATTTCAGCTCGATCGATGCAGAGCGAAGGCTATCGGGTCCAAGATCACGTTCGCGGGCTGTGAAAAGGCGTAAAAATTCGATCTTTTTCCTTTTCGAAACCGTCCGAGAAGGCAAAGAAGCACCGGGGATCGATCATCGATCGGTTCCTCTGCTTCTCCTCAGAGGAGAAGGTCGGGAGGACGCTAAAAAGGTGCGAAGGAAGCAGGAAAAGGTGGGGAAAAATTCGTTCTTTATTCGTATGCATTAAATTATTCGTTTAGGAGGACGAAACGCAAATGGCATCCAACCTCGCCTTCCCGAATCTCCACGAGAATCGAACGGCTAGAAGTCGATCTACTGCTTCTTCCGCTTCGGCTGGGGCCGTTTCACTCGCCCCCGTGAAGTTGGTGGGGGGATTGTTGTGGCCGTGTGGGGTATTAAAAGCCTCGGATCTTCCTCTATCATGTCTCATTTCAGTTCTCGCGCATCCCCATCTCTCTCTCTCTCTCTCTCCTCGCCTTCGGAGCGATCGATCGCGGTTCTCATCTCGCGCGTCTATTACGCCGCCTCTGAAGGTATAAGCGACGGAAACGGAGCTATTTTTGGCTTCGATTATGCTGTTTTTAGATATGCTTTGCTCCATAATCTCAGCTTTTGATCGAAAGGTCCGATCGTTGCAGCTGCGTTTGCGGAAAATTGAGGGGTTCATCGCCTTCTCCCTTATAATAGCGCATGCATCGGTCGATGTAGTTGGAATAGCTCAAATCTCTAGACAGAGGTGGCTTTCTGGGTTGTCATTTCTTCTCGTGTCGAAGCATGTGGTTTCGCCTTTTCTTCCTGGATGTCGAGATACGATCTTTTGAGTCTGATGCTATTCTCTTCATAATTCTCTTTGCATAAATAAGAATCCTATGTTATGGTTTTGTAGTTATTGTGATTGTCGATGATCCTTTTTCTCCTCTGTCCTTCACCACTGTATCGACAATTTCATACATGGATCATTCACATATCTAATTCTTCAAGAAATGCCTGCTATCTTTTTGTTGGTTTTCCAAAATCTGTACAAAGATAAACACGATTACGATGAGTGCTTCTGTAACATTCATATCATCTATTCAATCATCCTATCTTTTCGGTGCTGGTGATGGATTACAAACTTTATTTCCATGCTTTTAGGCTTCCATTTGGTACTTCTATATGGTAACACACTAATGATATTGAATTTGGATATGCAGAACCATCCCTTAGCAGTGTGCTGAAATCCACAGTTCGACTCCGATCACATGGATGAATATGTGAGTAACAGAGCTAGTAGAGGAGAGAGTTTTGCTAGAAGGGGATCCAACTTATCTTTCAGAGATCATAGCCAAGAAGATAGACATGTCCAGAACTACAGGAGGTCGGGATGCAGTAGCAGAGTTGGTTCGACAAGGGGTCCCCAAGTTGTGACTCCTGAACGGCACAAACATGTGAGGGCTCCTTTTCGCTCTGCGAGCGGTAAGGCAATAGCTGGAAGCACTTCAAAATCATCTTCTATCTCTGGTAGCCATAGAAAAGCATTCCAGGAACAGCATGACCAGACATTTCTACAGGAATCAGTTGTGGAAGAACGTAGTACCAGACAGCAGATTGATGACATTGACAGCAATGATCGACAGGTTCGAGCAAACAATTTCAATTCCGAAGGTAGACAAGCGAGGAAAGAAGATACAGATTCTGTTTCCTTAACAACCAACAGTCGTAAATCTTCACTTCTCAAGGGGGTTTCCACAGCCAAGTCTAAGTCATCCAATGGTTGCAGCAGTGCATCAAGTTCAAAAATGCATAAACAGATCAGTGGACAGTTGGTTTCAGGAAATCAGGAAGCTTCTTCGAGTTCCTTTGTTCCACGCTCCTTTGCTGTATCCAGTAGGAATTCCGCTAGTGCTGCCAAATCCTTCTCACAAGTTCTGGACACCGAGTCACCAAGATGTGGTCTTCAAAATCTAAGTTGCACATCGATATATGATGTTTGTCCTTCAGGTTGTTCCTCTGATTTAACCGGTGATAAGAGGATTGTTATGGTAAGAAAGAGACAATCTGATGGAGAGAGTTCCGCAACCAGTGGCAGGGGGTCAAATGCCTCTCCGGGTGGAGGTTATTCGGGTTCCACTTACTCTGAGACTTTTGTCCCACATCTGCCCATTTCAGGCCGAATCATGCATCAATCAGTTTCAAGGTCCAGAAGCCGGCTTACCATTAGGGATGGAGCAGTTTCAGTTAGAACACAGCGGGCTTCTCCTGGAGATAATAGAATGAGGCCATCTGAAGAAGGGAATGGTAGCACCCTTGCACTTGATGACCCTACTCCAACCCCCCAACTTCAGCAGATGCATTTTTCTGTACCAGAAGCAGTACATGAGAGTTCGACAACAGCATTTACCACAGATTTGCCATATGTCTTCAATGATTCATCTGGACGACCAAGTTCAAGCAACTGTGTTATTCGAAGCAGATCGGTTTCCCGCCCTGAAAGTAGCAGCACACCAATCACCCATCGCTCTTTTGGAGATCGGCATGGCCACCGACGCCTCAACATGGAAGGAGTTGCAGAGGTCTTTGACATAATTTAATTAGCAATTAGCTATTTGTTGCCTTTGATCTTGTGAACTCATGATAGAAGCAACGAAACCTGAAATGATATTATACAACGGCAATAACAACAAGAACAAGAACAACAGCAACAATAAGCCATAATGTCCCAATATTTTGGGGTCATCTAAAATGATATTAGAGATCCATGCGTTTTAATCTTGTAATGGTAGTAACGTTTACATGTTTTTTCCCCTAAAATGAAATTTTAGAAATGTAAAGTTTCTTTTTTCATTTTTTGGTGGCAAATACAGGTGCTATTGGCATTAGAGCGGATTGAACGCAATGAAGAGTTAACATATGAGGTAATTGGTCTCTGTTTTTCTCAGCCTTGCACTTTGATCTGGATAACAAAATCGGTTTGTGTTCTTGCAGCAATTATTGGTTCTCGAGACAAATGTATTGTGGGGGGCACTAAGGTTCCACGATCAGCACAGAGACATGAGAATGGACATCGATAATATGTCCTATGAGGTACCATCTCCAATTAAATATTATTGTGATTAACGACTATTTCCAATATAAGATTTTTGATAATTGAGTTCCAGTTCGTCAGCCATAGGCTCAAAATGAAGTGTTGAATGCTGAACTGCCTGTTCTTTCATATTGTGGTCAAGATTGTTTGGTTTCAATTTTTTCTTTATCTTCCTACATTTGTCATCTATTTAAATAACTATTATGGAAATAATATAATTTTAATTTTTTTAAAAAAATCTTTGATCACTCACTTTAAGCTAGATGATACGGTGCCCATGTCATCATTTTAGTAGTTTTGATTGTGCAAGCCCGCAAATTGTCCCATATCCTTAATAATATTTGCTCATGATATATACCTTTGATGGTTTATTATATTTCGGATTGGATTTAATGATTTGTCTAATTCTTCCTAGTTCCTTCCAGGTTGTCGAATACAAAAAAGATTGTCCTATAAGCATTATGCCATTTATTTCTAATTAGCTAAGGAACTTTATTTTCATGCCTTATCTTGCTAAATCATACTCTCTCTATATATAATGGATAGGAACTATTAGCTTTGGAGGAGAAAATGGGTACTGTTAGCACAGCTCTTACAGAAGAGCAGATGACAAAATGTCTCAAGAGAATCACATATGCATGTGCCTCCCTGGTCCCTGGAATAACTTCTCATGATAATGATGATGCCAAATGCAGCATATGTCAGGTACTTTATTATTCACTGGTATTCCTCATCATTCTCTGATACTCCTGATAAATGTACATGTCAATTGATACATCTAGTCTCCTGCTAGCTAAGCTATTTGGGTCCATTTCAGAAAAATAATCCTCACATAATTTGAACTGTTTTTTTTTACAATTTGAATTTGGGTTTGTGGTTTCTGAAACATGTATTGATTATAACTCTGAAACAAGTCTTTGCCAAATTTCAGATTGCCTGATTCATGAGACGGTCTACTTTAGGGGCCATTTGTTGAAAATCAGGAACTTATGCAAAAATATTCTCGACACAAATAACGTGTGCAATTACCTGATTACTTTTTTTTTTTTTGCTTGTAGCCTATACTGCAGAATGTTTACCAAACTTTTGTATTATGAACAGTTTGGAGGCTTATTTATAGATGAATCCTACATGTGCTCTTCTTAAAATGCCCTCGTGAACACCTAATCTTCAGAAATGCATGCACTCGACGCAATATCTCTTCAGACGAATTTTTTTCATTCTGTTCTAAGCGGATCGAGTTATTTCCCTTTCAGGAGGATTATATAGATGGAGAGGAGGTGGCCAGGCTGCCATGCGAGCATCTATATCATGTTGCCTGCATTGATCAATGGCTTCGGCAGAAGAATTGGTGCCCAATCTGCAAGTCGTCTGCCTTGCCCTCCAAGGAAACAGCTCAAAACTGAGTGTTCCATTACTTCTGCTACTTCTTGAGAAGCATCTTCTTTGTACATGAAATGTTTCCATTGTCATGCAATAAAATGCACAAATGTTGGAACTTATCTTGGAAACTCTTAAATTAGAACAATTCATTTCGAGTTCTGTGTTGTGTATTGTTTTGCAGATATATCAGGATACCTACTGCAAGTTATAAGCTGTGTGCCTAAGTTTGAGCAAGACCTTAGTAACCCATTGTATGATTCAAAAAACCTTCCCAGCAGTTTCTTGACCATTTTAGCCAACTCTAACTGGACCTTCTTACTGACCTCTTATTGTTCAATGACTTTTATTTGCTTTTCTTGATGATGGCCATAAGATGATCTTAATAGCCATTGTATCAATTTTAACTTCATCCAGCTACGAGTCCAGGTTTCTTTCAATCACAAGAAGCTATTATTTAAAAGGACCGGTCTTGGTACAATTCGGGAGACCAAGTTTAAAAGGACCGCACATTGGCCCTCTCCCGAAACTCTTCATTGACGAGAGTATCTGGGTATGTTTGTTTTACAATAATAAATTCTTGAGAGGTTATTAACATTATAAACCTTTGAAAATAAGCTTATCCATTACTCTCCATGATGCAAGCTCCATATCCTGAATCTTTGGAATCTAACGTTCTTTATGATTCAAGATTTGTTCATCTTGAATCTTTGCATCCGTTTCATACAGCACTTGATTTGATTCCTCAAATCTATTAACCAAAAGTTTCCATTAAATATAGTGAATCCTATCCTGTAAGACTTTGCACACAAATAAATCACAAGAGCAGCTAAAGATTGAATGATATATTTATTCTAGATGTGGAGAGCAACTTTTGAGAGAAAACAGTATCATCAAAGAACTTAAGAACTCCCGTTTACATGGTGATGTCAACAGATGAAAGGAAAAGAAGGGGTTCATCCAAAAGAAATGAGGACAAAAGGAATACAGATCTGTCTACCAACATAAAAATCATTTATCAACAAACAAAACGAAATTAACAGTCAGAATGCTAATCAAAACTCATGTGCCAAATAGAGAAATTAAAAAGCTTAAGCTATTCATGAAGCCAAAGTTAAGATCTTAAAAATGTTTACCAGCGAGCTTCTAAGCTTATTGATCTCACTGTATTGCACCATCAGCTCTAAACGGCAGCCTGTTCTTTGCTTTCTCGTAATGCTTCTCTCCTGATACAATTATGGTGTCACCAAATGCTATGGATCATGAACACTGTAAAATACTTGGTCATTTCAGGCACTTTACAGACACTTTCTCCATGTAATTTTGTGTATTACACAAATGCAGGATGTTTATATCATTTGCATGACCTTAAAGGCATGTCAAATATCGATGAGGATATATGCACTTGAAATACTAATATCCCACTGCAAAATCCACCATATCCTAATTCTATCGAGAGTAAATTATGAACAAGGTAAGTTGAATTGATGTCTGTATTACCAAAATACTTCCACGATATGAAAAAGATATTTTGTAAAACTAGAGGTTTTTGTTACTACACATCTCTGAAAAATGCCATTTCTGCCTACATATTCCTGCAAAAGTCATGATATGTAAAAGCCTACCATTGTCTCCGTTGAGAGTTGAGACATCAGGTTAAGTTAGTGCATTGATAGGTCTCAGGTTTGAATCCATGAATCATGTACATCATTTAATATAATGAAAATATTTCATTTATATGAAAAACTAAGACAATTAAGTAATGCAATTAATGATGATTCTTGACAATTACAATTAATCTATGATTCTTGTGCAGTAGACAACTGAACCAAAGGCAATATTTATGGAAAACTTCGACAAGAGGTGCATTAGTGAAAATGAAAATATACGAGGATTTCTTGGTAACAATGGGTAAGGCCAGACAAAAAATTATCTTTGAAGCAAATTACCACAAATATAAAGACAGCACATTTAAAGAACTGTAACAAATAAGTTTACCTTCAGGTGATGTAAGTGTATGGCAATACTTCCCATTCTTTGTTTGAGAATTGAATGCTACTGCACTCTAATTCTCTTATCTTCAAACCATCCACCATGTTTCATTTTCCAACTGTAGCTTTTTTCCTTTAATCACAACAATAATGGTTTAACTCAGAATAATGAGAAGAGATGATAAATACTCGAATGGTCCTAAGGATGAAATAGCTTATGCATCGAGCTTATGAATTAGCACAAGAACAATAATATCACATTGGCAAAACTTGAAACATTAAGCAGAGAAAAAACATCTTTAGTTTTACATAACAAAGATATTTTTCCCTCTTCATTTTGCAGTCAGCAGTTAACCAACATAAGTAATGATAAGCATGCAAATATGCATAAACAATGAATAAATAAAAGTAAAATTATGCAACTTGGATGCGAAAGCTTTTCTTAGTAGAGCCTCAAATGATGGATCACCATTAAGTCAGCTCTCTCTAATACAGCATATAGCAACTTTGCAGCATCGGCCCTCAAGTTCTGGTGGCAGCTTCTACAAAGAAAACCAGAAAGTACCCAAACCCAACAGGAATGCCAGGAGAAAGTTCTTTGGTGAGAAAATATTCCATCCTGTTGTCTTAATAATCAAAGAAATCATAAGAAGATATCCTTTGCAAGAGAGATTGACCATAAAGGAGATAACTGATCACAAGAACTTGACGATGCAAATGATACCGAATAATACAATGAAAGAACAAGCATGAGTCTGACTGAAATGTGAAGCTAAATAAATATTGCAAAAAACTATTACTGTCATATAGAAGATGCAAATTTGTGATACCAATAACCAGAGCAATTCACTATAATGTGATTCACATCAGTAGCATAGAGATAAAAGAAAGCGAAAGGTCAGAGTACTGATAATGATCATAAGAATAATAAATACAGGAAAAAAAATCTAACTTAGCAGCTCCAAGTGAGATCAAGTTTTGCCCCCCTTTTTCTCTCTCTCCTTGTACTGACAACACAAATAAGCTGACATTAGGAGGTAGTCAGTTATTTGTACAGGAGAAAATATAGGCTAGGAGACTGTTTCCTTTCTTATTGGACAATACAAACAGTTAGGTATTCAGTGATAGTGCAAGTTGCTGTTTGAAAATTGTCTCAAGGAAAAAACAACATAAAATAAGAGACAAATCAATGTTTTATTATAACCATTTCCTAGTTTTCACATAAGAATTTTCAGTTACATTACTGGAGTTCCCTAACCTATCTCACACATCGCAACAGGACATACTGACAAAACACAATCCCTTAGTGTTGGGAGGAAATCTGTAGACAAGGTGAAACAAAGAGATGAGAAAGGTACAAAATGTAGACAAACATACCTGCTAAATCAAGGCAGAATACCTCAGACTCTCTTCTAAAAAATAAACTGTAAGCAGAAATAACAGAAAAATTAGGAGTCAGTTTGTAGCTCACACAGCATCGCACAATGATATGCACACTAATCACATCTGTTTTTGTTGTGTGCTACCTCAGATGCTCCAGTGCCTGAAACCATTTTTAATGAGCCCCACTTTTTTAATCCCTCACAATGCTATACTACATAAAAGAAACACTGTTTACAGGATTTAAGTGGATGAGATAGAAATGACATCTGATTTTGCTGTGTGTTAACTCCAGTTTCTCCATTTGGTGCATGATATGTTTTTCAACAAGCCCCATTATACTAATTCCTCAATCTTCTGTGTTATGTAAAAACTACATGAGAATGTCATCTCCTTATAAAATAGAACCACAATAAGCAACATTAAAAAAAAAAAGTCAGACTTCACCTATTTAATTGCCAAATGGTAAGAAATACATTTAAAAAAAAAATGAAAGCATTCATGAAATGACACTTGTAAATCAACCAAGCATTCTGCCAATTGATAATACACACACTGCTACCTCCGAACTTACAGAAGTTACAAATGAAATTCCTGCAAAACTGCCTTTGGGTCCTCCATGTTCGGAGTTACAATTATGCTTGAGATTCGTGGTACCATTGGAGACACCCTTCATAAACGCTAAATGTACAACAAGTGAGTCAAACTGGGATTCTCTTTTTCTTTCGACAGGATGAGTCAAACAAATATGTCACTGTTTGAGCATTTGCTCCTTACCTGGATCTAATGGGATTTCTTTGTTCTGATCCCACAAAACCTGCCAAAGTGTATCCTAAAGCTGAGAAGTTTTAATGCCCACATAGACACCTTTAGCTCTCAGTCACCGGAGCAATCCAGCTACCAACAATTTTCACAAACCAAAAACTTTAACCGGGCTTGTCTTATTCTTCACATGAACGAATACATATTTTCTCAAGTAGCAAGGGCCAGTCCTCTCCAAGTTGTTGTGGATTTAGCTCCATCGCTACCCTAAAATCCTGCATAGATATCAAACAGCTGTTTTTCAGTTCATGTGTGCCTTCTGAAGGTCCACCTACAATTTGCATTTTGATATTGTTTCCAACAAAACTATCAACAATAGAATTCCTATATAGCTGCAATCTGGAGACTGGCCTTTTTGTTAGTCCATTTCCAGTTCTTGCTCCAACTAGCTCAACACATGACCTAATCAGCAGCTTCAAATAAGCATCCAAACTATTATTTAGTAGTTTGGCACAATCCATAGATACTCCTCCCAATCCCTGTGCTTCAGTTATTTGCTCCATCCGTTTCTTCAAAATCTCAGTATGGAACAGTTCACCACGACCATAGATGCTACCGAACCCACCACTGCTAGCACCGGCTGTTGACAGTGGACGGCTTCTTGCCCCACCAGTGCTCACAGAACAAAATGGAATGCCAAGTGGGGCCCGAAGAGATCCTCTGCAGGAGTCCAAGTGGTCCAGTCTATCCAGATCGTCCACAGTTGCTACTTCAACCAACCCCTTGTCATTCACAGAACCCTGGTCATGCAGTGATGGGTTATCCAACCGTGGTCTCTTTGCCCGTCGCTCTGCAGGACCAACTTGCTGATGCTGCAGCCTCCTCGATTCAGATGGAATGAAGTCACCATTCTCCCTGCTGACAATCTCATCGTAAGGTGCCACAAAATGATAGGAAGCAATCTCTGCTCTCCCATTTGGTCCAAGATGGCCTGCATAATCTTTGGCATGCCGGCCATTTGATGAGCTGGGCATCGATGTAATCAGGGCACGTAATGAATTGAATCCATCATTGATCTGAGGGGTTCTCTTCAGCACATCTACAACCGGCTTCTGCACACCCTTCTCCTGATTGACTGGTGGTGGAACTTTAGCTCGACAGGCATTTTCAAGGATCAATCGGATGAGTTGGTTGTGCAAGGGGAGATTCTCACGGCCCAGAGTCGGAAGGCAAATCCTGTTGAACTCGAGCTTGCTCATCTTCTGTGATAACAACCCATTCAGATAGATGAAGTAGCGCTGTGCTCGCTCCGTGCCTAATCGCTTTGCTATCTGTGACTTGAGGTCATTGAGGTTGGTCCGAGAGTATGACGGTTGTGGCGAAAGCTGCGGCTGTGGCAACGGCTGCATCTCTCAGTGAACAGTGTCCATATTGACAACCACCAAGAATTTAACCTCTTCTTCCGCTGATCCTATTCTATATCTTGGGTTTCAGTCAAGATTAGGGTTTGCACCTTCTTTTACAGAGAATTGAACATATCCTCAATGCCGACCGCCTGAGAGGGAGCAATGCAGGCGCGAACATCATCTCCCACCGGGAAAACCCTAAAGCAAGGCGAGATCAAGAAGGCGCCCTCAACACGGAGACTCCGAGTTGAAAACCCGTCCAAAGACGCTAACTCGCAGACGCAATTCTCAGAGACGGAGATCGAAAACCCTAAGACAACGAGAAACAACCAAAATCAAAACCCACCTCAGCACATTGTAGCTCAAGAAAACTCTCGTCAAACGCCGCAATTCTGAGACGGAAGCGGGCGGCGATCCGCTCTGCGGTCTGCGATGGCAGAGTCCAAAGCTGAGCCAACCGGATCTCAAAGGAATCTCAGTTGAACCAAAGCGCGGCAACGAAAAAGAAGAAGAGAATCCATATCGACAAGGAGACGGGGAATGGAGAAGAGGGGAATGAGTTGAACTAACCCCGCGGAGCTCGGAGAGCGCTTCGATCGGGAGCTATCCAATTCGACCTCCCTCGCTTCGTCTCTTCCTTCCCTTGTCCTTTTTCTCAGCGACTTGAATTGGGATCGGTCGGTCGATCGATAGAGCGGGCTTGCTATCTTTCGTTTTGCACCCCCCCTCGCCACCCCCCTTTACTCTCGCCCGCTGGAAGTACTTGGTGAGAGCTTGGGGTGATCTACCAACGTGACAGTACGAAGGCTCGCGGCTATCCTTTGGTGGGGCGGGGGGGGGGCTTCTTCCGTTCGTTCGATGCTTGCGCTCCCCTTTGGCCGCTGCGTGCGCCCGTGTGCGCTCGCCGCACGGGGTGTGCGACTTGCGAGGCTCAGCCTGACGGGGTGGGAAGGATCCGTCTTCGGATCGCTGTCTGATTCGTGAGCTCGGTGGGGAAACGGTCAACGTGAGTACATTGGATTCATGGGAGTGCCCAAATGCGTCTTGTAACCACATACACGTCGTCAACAATCATTGGCTTTCATGGTTGACCACCACTGGAAATAGACGATATTGAAGAGCACTACGACATGGGAAATAGACTTGAGATCAATTCAGGTGTTCCCTTTGTTTGTTTGTAGCAATTCAATTCTGGGAATCACAAGACTCTGATCTGATGCCAAATGAATAACAGGCACTAACGGCATGATCATCATCTTGAATCTGTTCACATCACAGCAACTGTGCCAGTACGAAGAAAAAGAAATCATCATCTGATATCTTAATGATTATAGACAAGCTGTATTTACCCAAAAAAAAAAAGAAAATTGAAAATCGACACCTCATAGATTTCTCCTAATAATTTATGTCAAGCTAAAACTGTATAATAGCTACAAACGATGTTTACAAAAAGATTTGATATCTTAATTATTACAAATGGCAATAGGAGAAGACGTAAAAAGCAGTAGCTAAGACAACAACAGGAACAATTAATAAGGTCCCAGCAATCTGGGATGGAACGCATTGATCTTTCCTTCCATTGTGCTGTCATGAGGGTAACTATGTGACTCAATCCATGCAGGCATATTACAATTACAGCTTAAATCGGTAAGGTTTCCAAGTTCCAACCACAGGTGCCACACCCTATAACAAATGAACATAATCAAATAACCATGAATCTCTGCGAGAAGAGTAAGGTCATATCACATTTGTACAAAATGATCACTGTCTGCAAAAGCACTCCAGGCACATCAAAAATCACCCAGATCCTTGTGAACCTACCATCAGCGTCAGTAATTATGTTATACCCCTTTGTGATTAAAGGATATATATGTGTGTGTGTGTGTGATGATAAGCTACACATCAGAACCTCACCATAAAGAAGAAACAGCAGATAGCTCCAACGTTCCTTTCTATTTCCTTGCCAAACTTCAAGAGTGATGTTCCTTTCAACAACCGTAATCTCCACATAGCAAATGGTTTATTCACAGTCTCCAAATTCTGCCACAGATTTGGCTTTCTTCTCCCACAGATTTCATACCACTGACAAAAACCATGATAATATTTTCCCAAATGCATAAAATAACCTGGTCATCAAATCCACAAGAATTATATTCTTTTATAAGCTTACCCAATACCGTCACTCCATAGAAACATTAATTTGATGTCGAGGCCCAAAATGATTTTGGCACCAGAACGAATAAAAAAATCACCCTTCATAACCTAAGACTAATAAGATTCCTCAGCCAATCAAATTTGCAAGACATATAAGACGTTCTCAATGTCAGATAAATCATCTTTAAATACCAATTGTAATTTCAAACAGCAAAGATAATTCAAATTATTTACCTGATAATAGAATCGGAAAAGTGGGTGTGTAAGGCAAATGTGAAGGATGATGGTTTTTCATCAGCTATTTCATATGTGTTATGTCAGCAAAAATTCTAAGGTGAAAATCATAAATGCATAAAAAGAGGTAGCAGCACTGTGCAATGAGCTTAAAAAACTACAGTCATCAAAGATAAAAAATTTACCAAGTCATTGGAATGATAAAAGTATAATCAAGCAAACAAACTTGACATACATTCTTACAGCTCAAATAGAATAAAAAGTTGGTGTCCATTGACTGATTGTCCCTATGAAGCTATATCTTGATATCTTCTCACTTGGGAGTTAAAGATCAAATCAGTGAAAATAGTGGAGCTAACTATAGGAAAAGGAGGATCAATGTCAATACTCCAAAGCCTATTTCTAGCAAATTCATGCTGATAGAAGTTTCCATGACTACCAAACTGCATTTTTCTTAAATTAGGTGAGGATTATAAATAAATCCAGCAACAGGAAAAAAAAAAAGGAATAACAAATACAATAAGAAGAATGTCATTCTTGAGGAAGCATATTGGGTTTTCCCCACGTTATAACTTTTGGAGGCTTCAAAATGGCTTAGAAGAAAATGAGGAAAGCCAAGTACAACCATCCTTGAGTCTAAGATGGTAATAGATTCCACTATCATGCTATGGTAATGAGGCCTTGTTAGTTGAGATTAAAGAAGGTTTCAGCGGCAAGCAACCCAAAGGTCACAATTATGTTCCACTCTAGTTTCCTTTTTTCCCCTTTTCCCTGAAAACCATCCCTTACTATTATTTTCTTCTTTTTCTTTTCCCCATGACAAGTGTTGCCTGGTATATTGTCCCCGTCAATTCCAACCAAAGCAGCGACCGGAACAGGTTCAACTCCAAAATTAGGATGTTTGTGTTAGTCGGCTACAATGTACTATTTGAGAATTGCAAACAATTGTCAACAGAAGATCCTTGCTCAACCAACAACATCCATAATACTAATTGAGAATTGCAACATCTAAGTATCTATAATTGCCTTGTGCTCAATGTGCCACCATGGTGGGCAAAGTTTCAAACTTTTTTGAAGTAGAAATGATACTTGAAATAGAACCAAAATGTCTCTTAAATAAGATCACAACCATCGATCCACAAATCCATGAGGCTTGCTGACACATATGGCTTAATGACTTAAGCCCTATTCCATTGATGGAATAAGAAGACAGACAGCTAAAAGATAGAAGAACCCTACTTCTATTTATAACACCTAATATATAATTAATTAAAGGTTTTAGTTGCCCAAAAAGTTAGACGAATAGTCTTACCATTATGAACATAATGTCCTCGATAAAATTTAACCATATTCAAGCATATGTAAGACTACTACACAACATTTCCAGAGCAGATAGTCTTACCATTATGAACAATAGCATCCTTGATAAAATTTAACTATATTCTAGCATATGTGAGACTATACCACACAACATTTCCAGAGCAGCTTATTTCAGTTGTCTACTAAGCAGAAATGGAGAAAATAGCAAGTTGGAAGACTATAGCATGACAGGTTGATTGAAAGATGATAACCAGGATTAGAAGATGCTTCTGCGTGGACCAAGTATAGAGACCGGAAAAACATAGCTAGCCAATCTACATCTTTTAATCCTTTTGCTACTTCACCATATTGGATCAACCATTCAACCATTCCTAGAGTGAACTATTCTGCACCTCTTTTCTTGTCTCTATTTAGACCAACTCAATAGAAATCAATACAAAATGGTTTGGCATAAAGCATTGACGACAATACAACTTCCGGTTGAACACATAAAGCACGGCACCGTATCCAATATCCCAGGAATTGACACCAAAAGGATGAAGTTGCTCAAAGATACAAAGCATTCCGCATAGTCCCTCGGAAAATCCGGTACCAGATCGACGAATCATATCCATCCCCATTTTAAGAAGGCCGCAGGCAACGATCTCGAACAAAATTAGTATTGCAAACTCCAGCATGATAAACAACAAAGAGGAAACAAAAACAGCGAAAAGTACTCAAACCAGCGAGGGAACAAGAGGGAGAGTCGGATCAGACCTCGGCCGATCTTCGATTGTCCTCCCTGAGCACGGCCTTGTCGAACCCATTCACGCCCTTGCAGATCTCCGCTGGTGGCTTCTCGTCTGACATCGCCCACATCCCCGTAACTGGAAACCCTAACGCCTTCGCCCTCGCTCCCTCTTTCTCTCGTCTCGCCTCCTCCTCCTCCTCCGAACCCTCGAAGCAGGCGGGGAACGGCGAAGACTCCTCCCAGAAGAGAACATTCGACAGTGAAAGTACATCCCATACGTATAAATGTCTTCCTATATAATAATAATAACAGACGAGTTCGCAAGTGTTAAGGACGTATTGGCTTAACGGCAATGTCAAGCACTCAGTCATGTCAAGCACTCCGGTAACGGCAACAGCAGAAACAGCCACAGAGACAGAGACCGAGTCCTCAGCCACACAACTGGCGCTGCCTCACGGTAATAATAGGCCATGGCCGCGACCTCTAAATGAGAACCGGGGTCATCTCCCCCTGGTGCGTTTCTCCAAGCCCCTCTGTGCCCGCAGCAAGGATGGCCAAGGCTCTCGTCATCGTGGCCCTTCTGCTGGTGTCCGTCTTCGTCCCCAGCTCTCCGACGGCGGCGCCGGCGCCGGCGCCGGCGGTCGTGCCAAGCTACGCGTTCCTCGGATGGCACGCGGAAGCACCTGCGCCGATGGCCTACAAGCTCGGCGTCCCGATGTTCAGGCACAGAGAACGGCCGGCGGTGCTGATATCGGAGGCGGAGCTCGAAATCAAGTGATCGACGATGGGTTCCATTCGGGACGAGATATTAACGATGGAAACATTGTTCTATTTAGCATGGCTTGTCAAATCCTTGATTGATGTGGCTGCATTGGAACATTCTTTTTTGTGAAATCAAAATCTAAGTGATTTATAATCCGAGATAATTGTCTATCGTCTTTAAAGACCATATCTAAAATAGAAGTTAATTGATAGTTAATATCGGAGTCCATATAATATTAAACCAAAGTAAAAGATTAAAAATGATTGCTCGTAAACTGGTCAGAGAATATTGAGTCATCACAAGACTATACCTCATATATATCATATTAAATCTTAGGTTTGATCTATGTTGTCAAGATCATCAATAGGGATATTGTGATATTATGTTTTAGTTTCTCATCGAAAGTAAGATAAAATTAAAATTTGTTGAATATATTATTATAAAATTAAGTTTAATTTTTTTATAATATTTTAAATGGGGGGATATTATAATATTATTATTTATAATAATTTTTATAAAAAAATATTTTTTTATTATATTTAAATATTATTAGAAATGGGGCATTATAATATTATGATTTAGTTTTATATTGAAAGTAGGATAAAACTAGAATCTAATGAATGCATTATTATAAATTAAAACTTAATTTTTTTAGATATATTATTCGAATTTAATATTATTTTATCGATCGATCATGATTATTCATTTCATGTTTAATTTAAAAGGATAAGCCTTTCTAAAACCAAGCATGCCAATATATATATATATATATATATATATATATATATATATATATATATATATATATTTTGAGATATATATTATTTTTTTATATTTATTTATCTATTTTAGTCATTATGATTTTGATAATGATCTCTTAAGTCCTTATGATTTATTCATATTTAAAAAAATCTTTACATTCTAAAAAACATAATATATAAGCTCACCTCATTAGTTAACAAACGTTAAAGAATGTTAACTCACAATAAATTATTAATATAATAATACGAATAATTTAAATTAAAAAAACTAAGATCTTCATCAATGACAAAAAGAGATATCATCATGAAAGCGACTATTAGTATCAGCACCAAGCCATTATTGTCTAAGAAGATGTCATACGCATGCAATCTCTCCCGTACTAATGTTGTACACATCATTATATTAATAATTTATTATGAGTCAACATATCACGTAAATAAAGTCTAACATCTGTTAATTCAGATAAAGACGAAATAAATTTATATATTATTTTTTTTAAAAATATAAAATATATTATTTTAGACATGAGTAAATCATAAGGATTTAAGAGATGTATGACAAAAATTAGAAGGCTAAAATGGATATTAATATTTTTTATTTTTTAAAAGGTTAAAATTATAAATCACATTCAAATCTTTTATGAGGGTGAATATAATAATAAGCCTTTTTAGGTATTTAAAATTTTTTTTTTTGGCCTGTAGAGGACTCTGTTACTTCGAAAAGCACACACGTGCCATGTATGTCGGATTCGGACATCCGGAGCGGATCCAGGAATTATCGGATTCGGGTGCGGGGATTCTTTTGTCATAAAGGGTTCACTTTTCGGCACAGCTGCGAATGCCGATAAGGGTTTTCCTTTTTGGCCGAGTCATCTTACCGACACGAATGCGAACACGTCCTCCCGGTTCGGCCTTTTCCGGCATCGGTGCGGGACACGACTCTCGTCGAGACATTCATGTCAGCCGTCGATCTGTCCCAGCAGCAAATCTGAGCCGTCAATCATCGCACAATGGATCACTACGAGCTCGTGGAACATTCCTCCACCACCACCACCCAGCCCTCTTGGGTTTTAGATCGACGATCTGCGGCCATCCCTCACCCGCCCTTGTTCTCGCTAGCCTCGATCGATCTGAGACCTGTTTCGATAGCTCGGGGAATCACCAAAACCCTCGACGAGAGAAGGGGATGGCGAGGTAGGGACGTCTCCTTTCAACGGAACATGGGTTGATGAGGCTTCCGGGTCGGCGTCGGCGGATGGAGTGGGACGGCGAACAGGGGAGGCCGAGCGGCGGCGGCGAGGGGGAGGAGGAGGAGGAGGAGGAGGAGGAGGAGGAGGAGGCAGAGGCGGAGGCGAAGGAGGAGGAGGGGGAGGTGGAGAAGGAAGGGGGTTTCCTGGTGAACGATGGCAGCTCGGTCTTCTCTTTCGCCGTGGAGAGTATGCTCCAGTCGGCAGCGGCGTGCGGGCTGGTGGTGACCGACGCGCTCGAGCTCGACCATCCCATCATCTACGTCAATCGCGGGTTCGAGGAGGCCACAGGGTATCGCGCCGAGGAGGTGCTCGGAAGGAACTGGTAAGAGCCCCATGTCATTTTTTTTTCGTAAAAAGAAAACTATGCTCTTTAGATCCTTCAATTTTTGCTTTCTTTGAGGCTTGTTGGTGATTACTGTTCTGTATGATGATCAATTGATGAGAGGAGCATATGTAGTTGCTAATTTATAGTATGTTTCTGCTTTTGCGTTAGTAGTTGAAATTTCTGCACTTTGATTTTGATTTGCCCTACCATGGTTATGACGAACACAAACTTGTGTTGTCGGATGGAGCTTGCAGGATAAGGAATGAAGAAAATTAGCTGCTTGATGATTGCTAGCCTAGGTTACATGAATGATGAAGTTTCTGAATTTGATATCCTTAGTTAGGCCAAAAGTGGAAGTTACTGAATGAACCACACTATCAATCACCGATGGCGAAACATGTTATGGCCTCTCAGCATCCAAAGAAAGATGTGGTTTTATCTATAGTCTCTCGTACTGAACGACGGAGGAAGAATTAAATGACACCAGGATGATCTTTTGCCTTGGATCATTAGAGTAATGAATGATAGAACTTGGAACTTGTAAGTTTAAGAAACATTGTCTCACTATTGCACCGATTGTTAAATAATATCCAAAATCAAGTTGGAGTCTACGTTCTATTGGGGACCTGGAACCGGAGTTAAAGACTGCGTGTGTTAACTTGTCTAGATGGCCCTATATCTATCTTGGGATAATTACTGCAGTCTAAACTTTTGTTAGCTGGTTGTGACTTTTCCATACTTCTTGCTCCAAAGTTGGATGCAGAATAGTGTGCCACTTGCAGTTATTTTATCCTCCAAAATACTTGGATCAGAAAAGAAACTATGATTATAACTGCACCTTTAAAAGTACAAATCGGTAGAAGAACATAAATTTGAAGGATGAAGAGGTTGTGATATTATAGTGACATTCATTGCAGCACTTTTTGCAGCTGAAGACCACTTGACATAATTGACTCGTTCTTGTGTTTAATATAGGGTATATGTTTTGATCACTTTTGTTGAAGCATATGCTTTAGTATTCCACTGGTGGAACTAAAGGATGATTGTTACTATCATTTGACTGTGGATGAATGCCTTTTAAGAGTCCTAAAGATTTATGGGAAAATTTGATAATATGGATCGTAAGAAAATGCAGCATAACTTATTTTGCATAGTACTTAAGTTCCCTTCCTCTTAAGCTTCTTTATTGGCCTTAGGATTATGATATGCTATTCTTTAGTTTGTTTGGCTTATAATGTCTAATAGGATCTATGTCAATTGGAAAATTTCCATTCTTGCATTTCTCTTTCATCCTTTATCTTGCACGTCAAAATGGTATAATCTATACTCCTCTCTTGTCTATTTTATTATTCTTTCATTTTTAACTTCGAGTCCTTATTTCGTTCCAAGGTAAGTTGTGGGCATGGCTTGGAGGGAGGGATGGGATGAAGGTATGAGGGTGGAGCCGTTGGGAGGGATTGGTAGTCAAGTAGTGAGTGCTTATGACCAGACAAAACATTTGAGGTGTGTAAACGGTGATGGGAGGGTAGCTTATGTAGGCCAGATACTTTTTCTTATAAACTCTCTCCCCATTTCTTCTCAGCTTCTTCAGGGTGAATTATGACACTCTCACAGGCTTGGCCTTGAAAGCAACACCTTGTAGCGATTATACAGGAGTTTCTTTGGTCATTTCTTACAGAGCGCTTCTTGAAAATTTTCTTTTTCTTTTTGGACAAATTTCTCTCTTTCCTTCATCCATCATGGCAGAATTTTTATTTTTCTGGCTTGCAACTTGTTAACGATATAAATTATACATTACATGTTTGTGCTTTGAGAAAGTTATAAAATAGTAAAGTGTAATAGATGGTTCCTGAGAGTTTTATGTTCAAGTCTTCAAGTTTGTTGCTGAATTATGAAATGATTCTGGAGAATGTCAATGCTTCTGTAGATATGAATAAGATTATGGTAGTCACAACATATCGAATGTCACAACCCCAGTCCGTAACAACATGGGCCAAGTTCCCATAGAGGAGTACTTGAAATGTACAACCTATGCCCATCTGCGCTATCGTGGGGTATCAGATTGTATTATCTAAGTACAAGCAGCATGTGTTATATGAGATCAGATTCTGGTGTGTCTCTACAAGTTCCATCATAATGGTAGCTATCTAGAGGAATATGCAGGTCTTGTCTTTCTTGTGAATTCCTTTGTTTTCTTGTCTGCATCAGATTCAATGTGCTTCAGATGATTGTTAGGATAATAATTTTGGCATCATGGCTGGTCATGGCCAGAAGCATGTCTGTGCTTCTTTTCTAACATTTCTGATCTTTTTGGTCATTTTGTCCTATTACATATCTTTGTTGTAATTGCCTGGATGCCAAACAATGGAATAGTTCTAGATTTCTGTTTCTGGTAGGTTCCTGCTGGAATGTTTTGTGGGAAGCACACTCACACTGTATCGCTCTTATATGTCATCAAAATTTAGTTCTTGTTCTTTTTCTGTCAATATAAATTATAGTCAACTTCCCTTCCACTTTTCACTTTATTAATCACATTTCATGTTGGTTCTTTACCAGGTCCATATATATATGTATATACATATATATATGTATTTCTTTTTAGATTGAAGACATTCTTTTCAAAATTAATTGATCTTTTTTAGGGAACCTGCACATTGACAGTATATCTGACTGCCTGCATATATTAGCATAAACTCAAAGTATTGTTTCAATGTATTCTTCCAGCCGATTCTTGCAATGCAGAGGACCATTTGCTCAAAGGAGGCATCCTTTAGTAGATGCTGCAGTGGTTGCTGAAATACGAAGATGTCTTGAGGAGGGCATTGAGTTCCAAGGTGATCTGTTGAACTTTAGGAAGGATGGTTCCCCATTGATGAACAGATTACAGCTAACACCGATCTATGGTGATGATGAGACAATAACCCATTATATGTGCGTTCAGTTCTTCACTGACACAGATGTTGATCTGGGATCTCTTCCTAGCCCTATGACAAAGGCAGTTGTGAAACCTTCTGATCGTTTTACCACCAACCCCTTGAGCAGACCTATCTCGACAGGGCATGGACACATCTGTCGTGAATTTTGCAGCTTATTACAAATGGGTGATGAGGTATTATGTCAGAAGATTCTGTCAAGGTTGTCACCAAGAGATATTGCATCTGTTGGTTCTGTCTGCACAAAGCTCTACGAGTTAACAAAGAACGAGGATCTCTGGAGAATGGTATGTCAGAATGCATGGGGCAGCGAAACTACTCTTGCACTGGAGACTATACCTGAAGCCAGAAGACTTGGATGGGGAAGACTTGCAAGGGAATTGACCACCCTTGAAGCAGTTTCATGGAGGAAATTGACAGTTGGAGGTGCTGTGGAGCCATCCCGTTGCAATTTCAGTGCTTGTGCTGTTGGGAACCGAGTCGTTCTTTTTGGTGGGGAAGGTGTTAATATGCAGCCGATGAATGATACCTTTGTATTGGATCTAAATGTCAGTAATCCAGAGTGGAGACATGTCAATGTGACGTCTGCCCCTCCTGGTCGGTGGGGCCATACGTTGTCATGCTTAAATGGATCTTGGCTGGTTGTATTTGGTGGTTGCGGCAGGCAGGGCTTGCTGAATGATGTCTTCATATTGGATCTGGATGCCCAACATCCAGCATGGCGTGAGATCTCTGGCATCGCACCACCTGTGCCCAGGTCCTGGCACAGCTCTTGCACCCTCGACGGCACAAAGTTGGTTGTTTCAGGAGGCTGTGCTGATTCTGGTATACTTCTTAGTGACACATACCTATTGGATGTCACCATGGAGAAACCTGTATGGAGAGAGATACCGGCATCATGGACACCTCCTTCTAGGTTGGGTCACTCGCTATCAGTGTATGATGGCAGGAAAATACTGATGTTTGGTGGTCTGGCCAAGAGTGGGCCTCTCAGGTTGCGGTCAAGTGATGTGTTCACCATGGATCTCAGCGAAGATGAACCATGCTGGAGGTCCATTACTGGTAGTGGAATGCCAGGTGCCGGAAATCCTGCTGGAATTGGTCCGCCACCACGCCTTGATCACGTAGCTGTCAGCCTTCCTGGCAGTCGAATCCTAATATTCGGTGGATCTGTTGCAGGCCTTCACTCAGCTTCACAACTTTATCTCTTGGATCCAACTGAAGAGACACCTACATGGAGAATACTCGATGTACCCAGTCGACCACCTCAATTTGCTTGGGGACACAGTACTTGTGTTGTTGGAGGAACAAGAGCGATAGTACTCGGTGGCCAAACCGGAGAAGAATGGATGCTGAGCGAGTTGCATGAACTGTCTCTCTTCAGCTCCACCATTTAATAAGAGATCTTCTGTAAGTCATTTTGAAGGTCTACTAGAATAGCTTATGCATTACATTCACTAGATGAAAACAAATATCATGTCCTGCTCACAAGAAATTATGCATCTTCATGAAACAAATTATAGTCCTGAATTAGTTTCTCTTTTAGTCCGGACATAAGACATTACTGTCAGATATCGTGTAGAAATTATGAACATCTTTATAGTTCTCTAACTACTACTTGCTGTAATTTTTATTTCTCGTACCTCTACTATTCTATTGCTAAACTTAAGCGGTTTGCCCGTGCACATTCAGTACTGTCCTCCATGTCCTGTCCATTGGCTGAGTTCCATTTCTTGATGTTTATATATTGTTGTTTACGGTGTCATTTTAAGTAATCACTTCTTTGAATCACAAATCTATTTGTTTCATATGCATGCTGAATCGGTTCTTAATGTTTGTGTGCTATCATTTTTATCGTTTCCCTATACTATACTCTCTGTGACAAAATTGATGCCTTGGTGACTCTTTTCGTTTGTTATTTTCTCTGTTCTTTGTTGCATTAGCTTGGCAACCATCACATGAGTGAATGTGAAATGATGGGGTCCATCACATGGCCTTCGGCCACATTTTCTAGGTGTATCTTTTTGGTCTGCCAGTCGTCGGGTCGCGTGTCGACCGCTCATTCTCTTCCGCTGGGCCCAACCCGAGCTTTCCACCACACTGGAAGTCTCACGCATGCCTCTGTATATTAATAGTCTACGTTAACATGACTCATCCGATCTACCCACTGGTAAACCATTTGCATGTTTGATCTTTGTTTCCTTGCAAGTCTATATATATATATATATATATATATATTCTATGCTTGTTCTTTGGCCAAACCATCATGCGACTGATCCATAGATCAATAATCAAGTTGATTGACTCAATCCTGCTGGAGTAATAATACTTTTTATCCCTCTCTTTTGAAACCTTTGGACAAGTTTAATTTTATCATGAATTTGATTTGTAAACAGAAATTAACGATGCACTTCATTTGGTTTTGGAAGTCATTCAATTGTTGTGTTCAGATACATTCGCCATTTTGATTCGAGTTCATCAACAGATGGGGAACCCTCGTTGCGAAGGGGTTTTCCTGCCTCGCCCGGGGCAGCAGACGCTGAGTTTGCTCTCACAAGGAGCAGCGGGCCCTACACGGATGTTGATGTCTAATACCTTGGCGATTGGTTAGAGAAGATGTTCCGTGCGTTAGATGAGACAGGCGATCCGCACCCTTGGATTTCCAGACCACACCCCACGGTGAAACGCATAGAATTCCCCAAATCCCTCCATCAGCGGACATTTTCGTTATTTCTACCAACCCAAGCCCTATCTTCGGTCCCACAGCCAGAGCGAGCGACCGACCGACCGAGCGAGAGAACGTAGGTGAAAAGGTCACGCTTTTTGCCTCTCTACCCTTCGCCAATTGCGGCTACAGCTTACCCACGAGCCTCCTCTTCCCCTCTCTTCTCCCACAACGCGACACCCTCGCTTCCACCGTGCCTTCGATCGCTACCTGCTGGTCTTTTCGCCGTCGTCATGGCCGCACCGCGGACACCGCCGCCGCCGCCGCCGCTGATCGGGAAGGCCGGGTGCTACACCATCTTCATTACCCCGCCTACGACTCCGACGCCATCCGAGCTCCCAAGATCCCCCATTGCGAGCCCTGCCCCGAGCCTTCGCGCCAACAACCCTGACAAGGATGCTCCTTTGCCGGCTAACGCTCCTTCTCCGCTGCTGCCGACGCCTCCAATCGTGGCGCCGCCACCGGTTCAGGTCCCACCTCTGCGGTTCGAGAAGCCAGTCTCCACGTCATCTGGGTCCGTGTTCGGGTTCTTCTGGGACGCCGTCGCCGAAGTACAAGATGGTATCTTGTTGAACTATTTAACTTCGGTGGTATAATAGGTTCTTTCATTCCCATAATTTTTTGGTTTTGGCTCACAGCGCATTCAAAGTTGGACGATTTCTTGGCGGATTGGTTTGGGTTAAACCATTCCAAGTACCAGTGGGCGTTGAATGAATACCACGAGCACAATGAGAAGGTTATTGCTCTTTTGTCTCTTGCCTCTTGCCTTGTAATGCTCTTTTAGTTGTTGTGGATGTGGATATGCTATTAAACTAATTAATATTTGTCATTATTTTGCTTTGTATATGCTGATTTTTAATTTGTTATTCTCTTCAGTGGTTATAATTTTATTCCTTGGACTTGTTTCCTAGAGCAATTACTCGATTTATTTTCAATCTAGAAATCTTTTTTGAGTTATACAAACAGATGTTTGCAACTTGCTCTGATTGTTCACGTATATGGTCAAATGCCTTGGCTATGATAATTTGTATCTCATGCTATCAATAGTTCTTGCTCGAGGTACATCATGTGGTTTTTTTATTTGTTCTTTCCCCTTTTTCATTTGAGGATTTGAAAAAAAGAACCATTCATAATTGTGACAACATCTTCAATGTATTCAAGCTTGGTAAATGAAGTGCAAATTCATAAATCTGGAGATCTTATATATTTTCCACACACCAGTGATCAGCAAGGGTTGATGAGCTGATAATATGCTGATAAGAAAAACATCTCATGCTGTTATCTATATATGTGAATGCAATTACTGTGTCTTTGTACTGTCTGATGTGTGTTTTGCCTGGAGATATGCCAAGTTGTTTTTGTTTGTAATTTACAGAAATTTTAGAGGTGGGACAAATATGGCCATGCATCTTGAAGTAAATAAAGCAGTTCTAAAATAGTCAAGCATCTCAATTTGTGAATGTGCTTGGGAAAGTTAAAAAAATGAAAAGACATGTATATATCTATCTATATACACATCCATGTATACATACGCATATGTATATATAATCTATGATTGGTTTATTAGCAGTTGGAGTAGGGAAGTTTAATTTCCTCCCAATATGTTCATGTAAAAGTTTACAAGTACGGAGGTTTTTAGCCTGCATGGAGAGGTCAGTATTGGATGGACTTCCAGTTAAATTTGAATGAGCAAAGATTTCATAAACATCTCAGAAATTTTATTGATTTTGTCCATCTTGATGCGTGAAATGTCAGATAAAAGCAATATGGAAATGTTGGCATATCATGTTTTTTATGACAAAAGTAGTGCATTTGCGTACTTGATCTAATTGTATTCTAAGTAACACTTGATGTTCTTTTGACCCAAGTTCTTGGTTTCCCATGCATGTTTATGGGAAGGTCTCTGAGTCAACTGAGGTGTCTGCATTTGCATTATTCATTTGGTTCCATTTACTTAGAATCATTAACTATATTCCTGTGATGAGTATTCATGATTTCTTGTGCTTTATGTATGTAATTAAAACATGTTTTTTCAGCTTTTAATAAAGTGCAGAGCGATAAGTCTGAGAATTTTGAGGTACCTAGGCAAGAGGGCACAGGCAGCACATAATGCTTGCCTTTTCTTTTGCCACAAAGTTTCCTTCCCAAATGTATCTTGCATGATCTTTGAGGACCAATGGATGTTATTGTCCGATCCTCAACTTTGTATTTTGGGTTTAGATGTACTTGTAACATATATCATCCCTCTGTATGATGAATGATTTAATCTGATATTAGATGTACGAAACAAGACAAATCCTATATGAATATGCACAGCTTGATGGCTCAAGGATTTGAGTCGAGTTTCCAAATTTCTTCTGGTTGCAGGATAAGGAAAGTAGTAAAGTCAATAAACCAAAAGAGCTCGTCGATAGAGGATATTCTGTCTAATAACTTACCAGTGAGGTAAATTATTATCTCAGTGAAGTAAATTATTATCTCCATTTCTTCCTTTCATTTGCTTATTTCTGAAACTGTTATTGTGTTTTTGTCATGCAGCAGCAAACTTTTTCAACACTGGTGTGTGGATTATAGAGTTAAAAACATGTCTGATGAATGCAGTTTATGATAGTGTATCAATGCTTCGAAGCAGTCAATGCATTACTGACAAATTGGTCCTTTGGGCAGTGGTCAGTCCATTTTAGGAGGATAGAATATACAATAAATAAGTTCGTCTGCAAATGTTTTCCATTGTTTGCATGTTGATATTTGCTCCTTTGGGTATCAGTGATGTGAACTGTCTTTGAACATTTATCAACTCATCTCTCCAAAAGCAATCAAAATAGTCACAGTTTGCTTTTTGTATGACATAAACAGCTCTTCCCTGTAATATGAATATCCTATTTACTTAATATTTTCTTAAATACTTTGATTCCCTATTATATTATGCCTTTTTACAGAGTTCGAGTGCTACCATGGATCATTGCTAAGATAGTGACAAGAAAAATGCATTGCTACTTGGCCTTTAGCTGCCATCAATCATGGTTGCAGTTTTTCGTTGTGTCATGGTTGTAAGTAATTAATGATATGAAGTCTGTGTGTTTAATATCCTTAAACATTAAGTATACAAACTGTTGGTCTTTGTTTGTGTTGCATCATTAGTGTCTCAACTCAGTGGAGGTTTTGGAATGCCTACTTAACCCTGTTTGATTGGGTTTATTGGTCCCTTTTTGCACTGGTTGGTGATGTTATATATTTAGTTCTTAATTTTTAGTAATTTGAACTCCTATATATAAAATAAATACTCCACTTCTCCCGCCATCCGATGCCTACGCATTTTAGGAGTCGATCGTTTCTCGTCGTTCCTCTTCCTTACAACCTGCGTTTAGGCGCAGCTTTTCCGTTGAATCTCTTCATAGAAATAGCGGCAATGATCCAGAGGCAGATCCATGGAGCTCCGCCTCGCCTCTTCACCGGAACCGCTTTCATGCCCACTCCGGGCACCCAGATCGCCGCCGACCCCTTATCCCCCGCCAAGGTACCTCACGGATCCTCCCTTTCTCGATCTATGGCATTAACACTCCCATCGCCGCTGCTCGTCGCAGAATCGTGGGTCTCAAGGAGTGCTCCCGCTGACGGCGAAGCAGATTGCCGCTGCCTACCACTCCGGCGTCGACAAATCCGCGCTCTCCATTGATGGAATTGATGTCACTAATGTGATCCGATCCTTGATCTTTCTCAATCAAACCCTACCTCTTAAAACCCCTTATCCGGAGCTAACAGTGAATCGACTGGGGTTTGATTGGGCGACTGTAGGTTCGGCTTTTGGGATTGGTGATGAATAAGGTGGAGAGGGTCACTGATGTCACCTTCACACTTGATGATGGAACCGGTCGGATTGACATCAATAGATGGTGATCATTTTCTCATGTAATTTTTGTTTAATTTATTTTTCATAAACTGAACAATGATGTTGGTACGTACTTCTTGCTGACCGATTCTATAGGATTAATGAAGCCCCTGATGCGAATGAAGTGACAGCTATCCAGTAGGTGCTGCGTAATGGTTCTTTTTCCAATTAAGAATATTTTAATGTCTTAGTCTTTCTAATAAGAGCCTTACTTTATGTTGGTATACTCTTTTTGATGCTAAAGAAATGGGATTTATGTAAAAGTTCATGGTCATTTGAAAGGATTCCACAGCAAAAGGCATGCATCTGCATTTTCGGTTCGGTAAGACACCTGAATCTTCTTGTATGCTGTGACGTTTATGTGCTGTTCTAATCTGCAACTAAGACAGTGCCTTCGTATTTTACTTTGGTTTAACCATTATCTTTTTGTTGAATGCTATAATTTAGCTACATTCCTTTGGTGTATATTAAGTCTTAACTATATTCCCTTGACTACATGTAGCTTCTGCTTGCTGTACAATTGTTGCTTACAAACATGCTACAAAAACCATAAGCCCTATCAGGGCTTGCTATTTGTTTTGCTTCCTGGTGGTCTATCCCTGTCAATGCAAGGATCTTGTGTTATATGTGTGGTATAGAATAAATGAACTGCCTAGGGAGTATGTATAGTTGTTCTTATGTTCCTTGTCTGTTCTCACCTTTATTTCTCAAAGCTGTCTGTTATAACAAGGTAAACCTATGTTACGTAATATACTCAGAAGGATGAAAGACTAATTTACTACATATACCTTGAATGATCCAGAGACTAGGAAATTCACATAACTACTAAATGGTAATAAGTTAGATAATGGGTTTTACAGTGCTCATTCCTTTTCTGGAAGGCTTTGAGTTGTGCTCCATGATTCTAGAATTTGATGAGACAACAATGTTGATGTTGTGTAAGACTAGATGTACTTGTAATCAACCAATTGACAACAAAGTCTTTAGTATGATAATATGTAGAGGCCCTGTAATCTTAGTATTCTGTTTTTTAAGTTGATTAAGCATTGGCCATGATTAATGTTTGACGTGACTTAATTTGATAAACCTACAGTTATCACATCCATCTTCAGTTTGGCAGTCTCAAGTAAAGAGAATCTTTCATTAGTGCCATTTCAAACTTTGAGGCTTGTAGACCATCAAAAATTCAATGCACACATTCCCAAGGATATTGATAATTTTGATTTGCCTACTTTGATTGAGTGATGGCATCTTCCCTTGGTTTGTGGAAATCTGTATCAGAATTGTCTATATGTAGCCGAACAACTATGATAAAAAGCTGGAATTTTAGATTCTTCAATCATGATCAGCCTCTTCCTTTCCTTTTTTTTTCCATTAGGATACTTATTTAGCACTATCTGCTTGCTTGCTTAGTTTGGTTGAAATATAGGGTAAAGAAACCAGGTAGATTATGCTGTATTTAGGTTCTTCTTGACGGTTTGTTATTTTAAGAGTTCAACTAGTGGATATTCCTCTATTAGTGAGGAAATCATGAATTGCATACTGCAGTTCAAAGAAAAAAAAACCTTATTTACAGAACCATGCAATTTCAATCTGTTGCATCATTTTGTTGGGAGAAATTACACCCTCGGTATACCTTTTCTTTTCAGGCCTGTGAATGACTTCAATGAGGTTGTTCTCCACTTCATCGAATGCATATTTGTACATATGGATGTCAAGAAAATAATGGTACTTGCGAAACACATTTGAAATTGTGATAATGCCTTCGTGCTAACATATCCACCATGTAGCTTACAGAAAATAGTGATATGCAATATATCCTATCTTTTGTGGTGATGCCTGTGTGTCTAGACATTAACCGTTCAAATGGTTGAAAAGCTTGAATCAATGTCCTTTTCTTTTCATTTGAACAGGGAGGAGGTTCTGCTCAGATACCAACAAATCTAACTGCGGCCTCATCTTTTCCTAATGGAGCAAAAGAATACCCAGCTCCTTTTTCCCACCAAGTGACTTGTCCTAAAACTCAATTTCTTTTCTTCTTTCTAGTATGACTGAGCTTTATTAGTTTACCAAAGATTCATGAGACACTAGCAATTAGGGTGACCATCCTTGGCTTTCCTGGTCAGTTTTCTGCTTATGTAGCCATGGATGGACCTGGGAACAACATTTGCAACATTGTTTGGGGGGTTTTCCAAGAGCCAGCAAACCTGTAAGTTATGCTACTCATCTACGTTGTTATATATATATATATATATATATATGAGCCTGCAGAAAATGAAATCTTGAAGAAGTCTATTATAAATTGTTTCTTGCAATGTTGCTTATGGTCTCTCTCTACATTAACTTCTATTCTAAAACGTCATTAAGGTGCCTAAGCAGGCAAAACTTGTTGCTTGTGCTGTGTGTAGATATTTCCTTATTATCTAGATTTGGATGTATGTATATTTGTATTGCTTTATACTCGCTGGTCTCTCCATTGTGATTTGGAAGCAATTGCATTAGTAGGCTCTTTCTACAAGAGAACTGTTCGTTTCACTTATTTTTTTCTATTTTTTAAATTAGTTATGGTTATCTGTCACCCGCTGAAAGCCAGCATATAAGCAATTACCTCCTATAGTATTATTGTTTTTCTTTTGTGCCATCTCATGGAAATTAATGCATTTGTTCTTTTGTATTTGGTTGTTTTCACTTCTGTCCTCCCTTAATTTCTTTTTGAAGTCTCTATCCAGCAACTCAATAGTCTCACTCTTCTTTGTGACAATTCGTATTCTGTATGACAATTCGTATTCTTGTGTAATTACCTTTAAATTCTTTTTCTTGTGGACTTACTTTAGTAGATGTACCCGTCCCTATATCCCAGACGTTGCTTTTGATTTCCTGACCTAAAGATGTTATGTTATCAGAGGCCGTGAAAATGGTTTGCACGTTGATGAGATTGTCAGAAAATTGGGGATACCGAAGAATACGGTCATGTGAGTCTCTTATTTCATCTTAATTTCAACATTCCAAGGTAGGATCTGTGATGTTTATTTTCCATCTTCCAATGCAGCAATGCAATTAACTATCTTGTGGATGTGGGCTACATTTATTCTACAGTTGATGAATATCATTTCAAGTCCGCATACAATGGTTGATATGCGTCAGATGTTTTTTTAACCTTGACTGAATAAAAAACAAGAAAAGGTGTAAATAGGGTCTCTTTGCAGGAACATATACATCCACTTTGTTATTCCCCTGCCAAATTTTGTTGGAAGTTGGAATAATGTGATCATTTGCAAAATAAAGATGCAAGTGTTGCAAGTGATTTAGTGACATGATTCTCAAAAGATAAATTGATTTGTTTATATATATATATATATATATATATATATATATATATATATA